AAGATCTAGGTTTCTTAACTCCATGAAATTTCCCTCCAAACTATAAATGCCATCTCGTCTCTACGTGGCAAAAACTCCTGGACTATTTTTCTATAAATCAAATCACCCCAGGGTTCACATACATCGACAAACCTCGCACACAAGGGCGGGGTGGTGGCATAGCTGCTAACAGAAAAGACATCAAAACGATAATAATCTCCATCCCCGATGTTTTTTCATTTGAACACCTGGTCTTCAAACTCTCTGGTCCCACTCCCCTGATCACAGCCATCATCTACCATCCCCCGAAGCCAAACCCCTCCTTTCTCTCCGACCTCTCTGACATTCTCACTCAGCTTTCTGCCATATCCCCATCCGTTCTCCTCTTAGGGGATTTTAACATTCATATTGACCTGCAAATATGCCTCTGAATTTAAGGAAACCCTTCATTGCTGCAACTTCTCTCAACACATCAACTTCCCAACACACAGCCGTGGTCACATCCTGGACTTGGTCTGCTCCACTGGTCTCCACCATCCATCATCTGTCCAGCCTCAATCTCCACATCTCTGATCACCTGGCCATCATCATGGATATCAACATCCCCATCCCCGCCCAAAAGCAAAAACACACAATAACCTACAGAAACCTCAAATCCATCTCACCTTCAGCAATCACTGCCTCCATTACCTGCAAGATGTCTGTCTCCCCCCCCCAACTTTCTGAAAACCCATCTGAACTTGTGGACGATTTGCTTTCATGGCTCCAAAAGGGTGGAATGAGCTCCCCATTGAAATCAGGACAGCAGATAGCTTGCACATCTTCCGGCGCAGACTTAAAACCCATCTCTTTCGACTCCACTTCGAGCGATAGAATTACTAACAAAGAATTGCTAACAAAGCACGTATATACTAATAAAGGACTGGCTTATCTAAAGCCAGTTGAGTAGCACTTGAAATGTTTTAGCTATATGAAACCTGATGTACTTATATGATTCTGTTTTCTTCAAGTTTGTATCTTGTTGGTCGAATGCACTTATTGTAAGTCGCTTTGGATAAAAGTGTCAGCTAAATGCAATGTAATGTAATGTAATAATGGATTATAACAGCACCTTCTCCTTCTGTCTCAATGAACTGTACCCCACAAAAACAAAACATTTATTTTTCATACACCCCGCCCCCTGGTATACCCCGAACTCCGCCAAATGAAATCAAGGAAACGTGAACTTGAACGCCAACACGAAAAAACCACACTAACAGTCTACAAAGACTATCTCCAGCAGTACAGTAACGCACTCAAAGCAGCCCGGTCTAATTACTACTCACAACTCATTCAGTCTGGCTCCAGCGACCCCAAGCGTCTGTTCTCCACCATCAGCAAACTTCTCAAACCCTGTGACAACGCCACCTCGTCCTTCACCACCGAACAGTGCAACTCCTTCCTTTCGTTTTTCCAAACCAAAATCAACAATATTTACAGCAATCTGACACCCTCATCAGCACCCCCCACCTCCCTTCCTGGCTCCCCCCTTCACCGCACAGCCCCTGTCCCACTTCTCCCCTGTGACCCCCATGCAACTGTCCGACTTCATGACTGGAATTAACTCCACCTGCACACTTGACCCAATGCCCTCCAAATGTGTTAAAGAGAGCCTCCCTGCCATCTCCCAACTCATCGCCACCATAATTAACTCCTCCCTCAGATCTGGATCACTTCCCCCCTCTCTCAAACTGGCTGCTGTCAGACCCATTCTCAAAAGACCTGGGCCGTCCGTCT